GATCCACGATCGCGAGCGCAGCTCAGCGCGCTTCCAGTGGAATTGGCGATCTTGGAGCCCTCTCCGGAATCTCTAGCCAAAGGTATGCTCGATTGTTTTGTATTTGTCTTAGTTTTTTTGTTTTTTCTGTGATAGTGGCCGAGTTTGCTCGAGCAACCGGTGATATACAGGCTCTATCCGCGATCGATCTCAAGGTTTTGGCTTTGGCTCACACTCTCGAAGTCCAGGTCCATGGTGGCGATTCTCACCTTAGAAATCGGCCGCCACCGCTCGTTCGGCGCGTAGCGAAAAAGAATCACGAGCCCGAGCCGCCTGGCTGGGGATCAAACGTTCCAAATCTCGACGAGTGGGAGGAAATTGCTGAGGAACACGAGGATGAAGGAGACAAGAATGAGTCTCACATCCTTGGGCTCAAGGATCTCAGCTTGGGCGACGCTCAAAGTCCATGTCCTGTGACAGATCAAGGAGAGGAGGATATCAAGGAATGCATGGATTGTTGCAGTGACGGCGAAGTACCTGCCACGGATTTAAGTCCGGAGGAGGCTCGACTTCGTAGCATGCAGGAAGAAGATGGTGTTTTTGAAGATCAAGGGAAGGACGAATGCAAAGATGGTAACAGCGACGATGAAACAAACGGCGAAGCCACCACGGATCTAAGCCAGGAGGAGGGTCGTCTTCATACCATGCAACGACGTGAAGCCAGTGAAAATGTTTCAGAGGATCAAGAAGAGCCCGAGGGAGAAGAAGCTCCGTCGGTGACGGATGGAACTGAAAGCGAGGAAAGCTGGTCGGTGCTTCGACCGCTCTCCATGTCGAGCATCGCCTGCATGACAACAGACTTCGCGATGCAAAATGTGATCCTGCAAATGGGACTGCGTTTACTCACTCCAAATGGGATTCAAGTTCGCGAGCTCCAAAGGTGAGTGCTTAGTTTTTCTTCTTCTTCTCTCTGATGGATTCTTAACTTATGATCGAGTATATCGTATCACAGGTGGGTTCTCAGGTGCCATGCGTGCAACACCGTGACTAGAGACGTGGGCCGCGTCTTCTGTCCCAAGTGTGGGAATGGAGGAACTTTATCTCGTGCTTCGGTGAGCGTGGGACCAAACGGCACGGTGATAGGAGCGTCCAAGCGCAGGATAAACATTCGTGGCACGAGAGTAAGCTGGCAGAAACTCTTTTTTTGGTCACTTTTCTAACGTAACGCTTGCTCTGGTGTCTTTGCAGTACTCGCTGCCTCTGCCGAAGGGCGGCAGGGAAGGCGCTGCTCAAAATCCCATTTTGAGAGAGGATCAGTTGCCTCACAGGATCCTCCATCCCAAGAAATCGTCAAAAGCACCAGATGATGTAAGTCTCTAGCCAGATCGATCTGGTTTTGTCTTTCTGATAGCGGTGAGTGAACTAAACATCGTTGCTGGCTTTTTCTACAGGATCTGGACTACATCTCTTCCTTTGACGACGTGCTCCGGCCCAGGGGCAAAGAATCCTTCCAAAGCTCCGCAGCATCAATGAGAAATCTGGCCTCCCAGTTCTCCGGACGAAGGAATCCAAACGATTTGCACTACTCGAAGCACCGACGTCGATGAAAAGAGAAAGAAGAAGAAGAGATGGAAAAAAAAAACTTTTTCTCCTTTCTTTGTCGAGGTTTGGTCGTTTGTATCAGACAGTTATGATTTCTGTTAACGCCAACGGTCTTGACAGGTGGACGGTAGAGATCTCGCCGCGTGGGTGGCGGAGCTCGTTGGAAATGTGACTAGGCAGTGAAGGAAGGGAGCGTTCTTTTTAGGGTTCTTCCTTGACGGCCACGCAATCCACGCGAGCGCGATGGCGGGCGACGCCATCTCGCTCTAGCATCCAGGGGGGTCCATCTTTTGGATCCAATGTCGAGGAAGCAGCGGGATCCAGAGTCGCGGCAAAAAGACAGTGGCAGCTACTGCTGGAATTGGAAGAAGTGCAGCGCAGTCGCCTCTCCAGCTCTCGCCATCGCATTCGCCTGCTCCCTCGTCTATCTCCTCGTCCTGATCTTCGCAAGAAAGCCCTCTTGCCTCTTACATTCTTCCCGTTCCTCTTCTTTCTCCTCCTCCATCGCTTCTTCCACTTCCTCCTCTTTGCCCAAGCCCACTACTTTCTCCTTCGTGGACGTGGAGACTAGGCCAATCGAGGACGAAGACGACGATGATAGCAGCGATCCAGCGGGCAAAATGGCGAGCTTGGGAAACATCGTGTTTGGGATCGCCGCCACTGCCCGGCTATGGGATCGGCGTAAATCCTACGTCAAGCTCTGGTGGCGGCCCAACGAGATGCGCGGATTCGTGTGGTTGGACGAGGCGATCCAGAACTACTCGAGCGGCGCCCTCCCGCCTTCCAGGATTTCGGGCAGCACTGCGGGGTTTCGCTACACGCACCGCGGCGGGCGGCGGGCGGCCATCCGGATATCGCGCATCGTGTCGGAGACATTCCGTGTCGGGTTGCCGGATGTCCACTGGTTCGTCATGGGCGATGATGACACGATCTTTGTCCCGGACAACCTGGTCAAGGTGCTGGCCAAGTATGATCATCGCAAGTTCTACTACATTGGCGCCAGCTCCGAGAGCCACCACCAGAATCTCATGTTCTCCTACGGCATGGCGTATGGCGGCGGGGGATTTGCTATAAGCTATGCTCTCGCCAGCGCTCTCGAGCAGCGCCACGACGAGTGCCTGGAGCGGTATCCTTTTCTCTACGGCAGCGACGATCGCATCCACGCTTGTATGTCGGAGCTCGGCGTTCCACTGACGAAGGAGCTCGGCTTCCACCAGGTAAAAATCCGATTTTTAGTTCAAGGATCTTGTTTTGATCTCCTCCTCTTGCAGCTGGATGTCCATGGCGATGTCTCGGGACTGCTCTCGGCTCATCCGATCGCTCCCTTCATAAGCATGCATCACCTGGACGTCATCCATCCCATTTTTCCAGGCGTGGGCCAGGCAGCGGCGCTTCGCCACCTCTCCAAGGCGGTCGACATCGACCCGGCCGGGATCTTCCAGCAGTCGATATGCTACGACCGCCAACGCTCCTGGTCGATCTCGGTCTCGTTTGGCTACATGGTGAAAGTGATCCGAGGCGGCCTCAAAGCTCCCAGGGACTTGGAGACCCCGACCCGGACGTTCATGAGCTGGAACCGGAGATTCGACGAGGACGGCTATTCTTTTACGAGCTTGCCTCCTCCAAAGTCGCCCTGCGACGTTCCGCTCGTCTTCCACATGAAGGAGGTGGCGTACGCGAGCCGAGATGGGATGAGCGTGAGTAACTACACTCAGACAAGGACGAAGAAGCACGGCGGTGACTGCCCTTCCAAGTCGGCCGAGGAACTCCGGTGGATTCAAGTCCTCAAGGAGCGCACCAAGGATTCCTGGTTTGTGGTAATTGAAGTTTGTGCTCTCCCACTTTCTATCTCTTTCTCACGGAAAGCGTTTTCGTGTATAGGCTCCGAGAAGACAGTGTTGCCAGATCATGAGTGTCGCCTCGCACAGCATGCGGCTACTGGTAAGAGACTGTAGAGACGGAGAACTCATCCTTTGACAAGTTCAAGATCTTTCGAAGCTCTGGCTGCTCTCACTGTTCGAGAATGTGATCACGTCGGCCGCTGCTCAACGACACCATAGACACCACAGGGCTTTCCTGTCTGGAAAGCCCAGTGATCGTGGTTCGTTGCGAGAAGCTCGAATCAGGGGAGGAAACGTAGCGAACCTCTCGCGAGAGCAGCCAGACGCTATTTCTTTTGGACGAGCCTCCATATCATTTCCCTCATTCGCCTCCACACGAGGGTTAACTTCGGAGAAAAGATTGATAAATTTCGAACTTAACATCTAGAACAAAATGTTTATAATTAGTTTAGAGAAATAACTAATAATTTACTAAAGTTATAAACTTCCATAATTAACTCTTATTTATTTTCAATTAATATATTACTTCTTAATCATCACGGAAATATTCTAGGCATGATTTAAAAATATCAAATTCCATTGCCAATGTAATCTTAGATTAAACTGATATAATGTTGACTATTTGAGACATACACGAAACTCTTCTCTCGAGCACACGAGCGGTCCTGTCCATCTCTCCCAATTCACACAGCTTCTCTATCAGCTTGACAAAGGCTGGATTCGGCCCACCGCTTGAGTAACTTGGAGCATCACCATGAACGCGTGCTCGATCTGTCCAGCGCTGCAAAGCCCCTGGATCAAAACGCTGTAAGTGGTCGAGTCCGGAAGGCTGCCCTCGGCGATCATCTCTCCGCCTTGTCCATCCTGCCGAGCTTGCAAAACCCCTCCACAAGGCTGTTGTAAGTCGCAGTGTTTGCTCGGCACCCCTCCTCCGCCATCACCGTGAGAATCTGGAAGCCAGATCCATCTCACCGGTTTTGCAAAGTCCGCGACGTAGGCATTGCACACTAGGAGATTGGGAGTGTAGCCACATACCACCAGCTGCTCCAGGAACGCTCGAGCTTCCACCATTCTCCCAATCTCCCCATCCCCGCAAACTTCTGGACCATGATGCTGTTAAGTCACGAAGTTTGGCTTGCACTTGCTGCGCGCCAACGTTTCCAGGAGCTTGGCGGCGCTGTCCATCTGATCGGTGTTGCAGAACAGCTCCAGCAGCGCGTTGAAGGTGACGATGGTTGGGCAGAATCCCATCTCCGATGCCGAGCGCTTCCTCGGGCCGTGCCGCCTTGCAGAAGGCGTGGAGGATCAAGTTGAGCGTCAGAATGTTGGGCTCGATGTTCCTGAGAAGCATTGTCTCCATCACCTTGCATGCCTCGTCCGGCCTCCCGCATTTGCAGAGAAACTCCACCACCGGATTGAAAGTCACAGCCGTCAGAGCAAAACCAGCGCTCTCATGAGCTCGAAAGCCTCCTCGAGCAGGCCAGCTTTGCCAAGGCCCGTGGCCATCGCGTTGTAAGTCACCCGGTATGGGGCCACGCCTCGCTTGGCCATGGCCTGGAGCTCTTCACGGGCCTCCTGGATCCTCCCGGAGCTACACAGCGCATCGATGAGTGTAGGAGACGCTGTTGGGCTTGCAACCCATCTCTTGGCCTCGTCCACAAGCCCAGCCTCTGGAGAAACCTGAGGTTGTGGAGAACGACCAAGCTCCCAGGGCTCATCCCTGTACCCTTAAACTCCTCCACAAGCCACTTTGCCTTGTGAACTCCCCGGCAAGGCAGTGGCCGTGGACAAGAGTTCCATACGTGAATTCGCTGTGCACGAACTCCTCCAGCATCTATCTCACTTGGGGCTTGTAGCAAGCTTCTCTGGTCAGCCACTGGAAGAACGCGAGTGCAGTGTCTGGATCTTTCGTTTTTTGCAAGATCTTGCACACTGCAATGTGGCTGGAGTAAAGGCCCTAGAATGCAGCAAGACTCTCCACCAGAATCCCTTCTGGAAGCCTCGATTCCAGAAGCTTGCAAATCTCTGTCACGATTCCTCGTCCAGTGCCGCAATGTTGACTGGAGGATCGAGCTCGTCAGGCTGCGTCTTCCTCCTGTATTGAGATTTCTTACCTGGCCCCTGGCATGAAAATATTTGCTCCTTGGCAGCAGTGGCACTGGCATTCTTCCGGAAGCTCACATTTTGCCGGACGGCCTGCGCGCTGCAAGAAATCGGAGCCAAAGATGTCGAGGATGAGCTCGCGATCGCCACCGGAATGGCGCCGGCTAGCAGCGCCATGGCACATTCCTCGCTAGGTTCTTCCCTGGCTAGGGTTTTCGGGATCGCATGGCGGCATTTGTCTGTTCTTCCCCAATCCTGCTCTACAATCCCCCGATTCGTCCACACCAGCGATCCAGCATCGTCACGAGAACCTTACGAACCGATGGCGCCAATAGCAGCAACGGATTCAGCGAGGATCCAGTGAGCGGCAATAATCCCATCTCCACTCGTCTCGGGCAGCTACTGGAAGCGAGAAGGATCGATCTGCTGGAGCGATTCCGGGAGATCCGACGCAATTTGCCGCTCAAAGTGTTCTTGCTGCTGCTGGGATTCTACTCGGCCAACGCCCTGGCCACGGTGCTGGGGCAAACAGGGGACTGGGACATGCTGGTGGCCGCGATCATCGTGGCTGTGATCGAAGGCATTGGATTTCTCATGTATAAGATGCCGCCCGTGACGGAGAAGCTGCGATTCCTGGTGAGAATGCTCAATTACTGGAAAGCCGGCCTCTCCTTTGGCCTCTTCGTCGATGCATTCAAGGTTGGAAGCTAAGAACCCTAAAAACAGAGGGGTACTTCCTGGAATTCGAACCGGTGACCTTTGTGCTATTTATATTAATAGCAAACTCCAGTAACCAAGAAAGATGGGATGATCGTTCTCCTTGTTCTAGCGTATGGAGTTCTTCTTTTGTACGCTGTGACCGTCCATCTCACCGTGAGGCACTACGTGAATTTCAACTCAAGAGCACGATCGCATACGATCAAACAAGACGTGGATCGCGATTTTGGAGCTACCAATCTCACGAACATTGTGTTTGGGATCAGCTCCAACGCCGCGATGTGGGATTTGCGCAAAGAACTCGTCAAGGCATGGTGGAGGCCGGAGGATCGAATGAGAGGCTTCGTTTGGCTGGACGAAACAGTGAATTTCACTCTAGCAGACCAGGACACGCTACCCGAGGTCAAAGTTTCCAGTGACACCTCCAAGTTTCGATACACGTATGGAAGATCACCATCGAATAGAGGGACCACATCCGAATAGCGAGGATTGTCTCGGAGATGTTTCGTCTAGGGCTCGCTGGTTCGTCATGGGCGACGATGATACGGTGTTTGTCCCCGGAAACTTGGCCAAAGTTCTCGCAAAGTACGACCACCGGCAGCCGTACTACATTGGATCAATCTCCGAGAGCCACTTCCAAAATGTGGATGGATTCTCGACAAACATGACGGAGGCGCCGGATTCGCGATAAGCTACGCGCTCGAGGAGCTTGACAAGGTCTTGGACGATTGCCTGGAGAGATACCATGGATTGTATAGTGCGGACGCTCGGATCCACGCCTGTGTGGCGGAATTGGGCGTGCCGCTCAAGGTGGAGCGTGGATTCCACCAGTTTGACGTGCTGGACGACGCCTCTGGATTGCTCTCCTCGCACCCTTTGACGCCGCTCGTTTCGCTCCACCACATCGAGCTCCTGTATCCATTCTTCCCAAGGATGGGGAGGATCGAGAGCGTCAAGCATCTGGTCGGGAGCGCGCAGGTGGATCCCATGGGCTTGCTCCAGCAATCCTTCTGCTACGATCCCGATCGGGACTGGACGATCAAAGTGTCTTGGGTAGAGAAGGATTTGGAGCTTCCCGTGAGAACATTCTCTGGGTGGCACGGCGACCGTGATCGCGTGGGAATCGCCTTCACGACGAGAGAGAACCCGTGTGACCGGCCGGTCAACGGGGCTGGAAGGCGGGAAGTCAAGCAGCATCTATGCGCGGGAAGAGAGGACGGTGAAAGTGTTTACGCTCGGAGAAGGATTTATCCATAGTGAAAGCTACGGATAGAGGTAAAGTTAACTTTACTTTTTAATCCCCAGTAAAGTTTAGTTTTACCAGGCACCTAGGAGGCAACTCTGTACCATACACAAGCACGGGACAACAATGGAGTTGGGAGTAGAGAATTGATATTTTGGAATGCAACGGAGGTTCTAGCGCTATGGATTTTGATATTGAAGTTTCGCGCGATTGATCGCTGGTAGGGAGGGTAAGAGCACAATCTATCACTGGTAGGGAGGGGATTTATAGGCGATGGATCGCTTAGCCACACTGCTTGGATCCCCTTGCCACAATGTTTCTAGATCTCAACTACTTTTGACAAGTTTTTTTCTTTTTGAATCTTAGGTTTACTAAAATGTTTAAAGCTGCCACTTAGGAGGTGGATGGGGAAGTTGAACGGCAGATTGCTGTGGTTGAGCGCCGAATTAGTGCGGTTGAGGGGCAACTCGAGCAACCAAATGATCCCGAGAAGGAGAAGCAGCTGTTCGAAAAGGAGAAGCAGCTGCGCAAGGAGAAGCAGCAGCTGCGCGACAAGGAGCTCCTCTTATTGAGGTCCAAGAGGAAGTCCCAGGGTAAGATGCTACTTCCTTTGTTGGATGTTTCCTTTGCCCTGCACTTGTCTCACTTGTCCATTGGCTATGGCTGCAGCCATGGCGGATCATTTGATTGCGGCTTGTGGCGCTGTAGTTTCTTGAACAGCACCTTGTTGTGGTTGGCTGTTTTGTCTTAAGCTGGAGTCTGTGTACACAGATTGTCATTCTTTACTGTGCTGCCTGCATGCGTTGTAACCGGTTTCTTGGTTTTGCTTACAGAAACAGACGTTCATGTTCATAAGCGGCTTCGTCCTAGCATGCCTTTCCTGGTACCGAGAAATTTTTCACATGCGCTTCCTTTCAAGGGGAGAGACACAGAAATGGCTACAGTTGTAGGGCATGTGGATAAGTATTACAACTCCATTTGCTTTGCAAGTGGGGTTATCCAGCATGCTAGCATGCTGTTTGTAATATTTGAAGGCCTTAGTGGAGTTGGAAAAACTAGATGCTTGATGGAGATTCACAGGAATGTGGAGGGCTATTTATGAAGCGACACAAAGCTCAAGGAACTGTATTTGGCTAAGATGGTCACCCAACTCTTTATCAACTTCAATTGCACTACTGTAGCAAGCCACATTATGTCACTCCCTTCTTTGCAAAAGCTGTGAAAGACAAGGGTGGAAGAGTAGTAGGCAACATGTTTATGAGGGCATGTTTACTAGCAGAGGGTATCTTTGGTCAGGCTTTTGTGGAACTGGATGATCGAACTCAACAATGGATACTGTATGGCAAAGAGCCCATGACTGTATTGGCAAATATCATCAGGGTGGCACTTGGGTTGCCGCTGTGCCAGCGGATTTTCGTGTACCTTTTGATGGATGACCTGCATGCCGTAACTAAAGACATGAGCGCGGAAACAGCATGCTCATTCGTGCATGGAATGTGGGATTACCTTGGCACCTTCATGTCCAATGACTTTGGACCGGCTCCATATCAAACTTGCCAAATGGTGATACTGCCGGTTGCCGCTGCCACTTTGGTGCCATCCTGTGGATGCTTTGGCCTGTCAGACTGGCTGGCCTGCCAGATCAAACTAGAGCCCCTCAGTGAGGTCTCAGCAATAGACGTTCTGAAGGAGGCAATACAGACTAGTCGGCTCACCGAATGCCTGCCAGTCATCCGCAACATTATACGCGATGTGAGCTACCTGCCCCGGCTCTTGCAGTATATATATGAAGCTTGGAAGCTAAGACCCGACTTGGATAGCACAGACTTGCGTGATCTTGATGGCCACTTACGCAGATGTTTGGAGTTGAAGCTGAGCATGTGGACGCACGAGATCCTGGCAATAAGCAATACCAATGCAGTGAGACGAATGGTGAGGTTGTGCTTGACGGGCGACGCCACAGACATGGGGTTTATGGAGACAAAGGAGTGCACGTATGGCTACGTTACCTGGAAGCGGTGTGGAAGCAGCGGATATACATTCCATTCGCCAGGCTTGTTGCTGGTAGGGCTTGCCAAGGAACTGAGGGTGCATCGATATCTCATTCTTTCGGATATTAGCACGTTGGCTGCCTCTTTTGGACATGATTCACACACGAATGAGGCTTCATGCAGGAAGTGAATGCCTTCTTTCAGATATCTTCCACAGAGCATGTGGCTCGAATAAGGCAATGACAGTGAAGATGCAGATCGCATCTAAGATCGTTTTTAGGGAGGAAGCTGCACAGTTTTACATGTCGAACAGGAGTAAAAACGGCTTCAAGCACTTGGGTGATGAAGGCATGGTGCTCCAATGTGGTACTGACTTTTGGCGTCCATTTGGCAACAGTGAACAATCTGTGATTACAAAAATGTACACGAACTCTTTGGGCATTGACATGAGGGTGTTTGCAAGACATGGAGGTACGCTTTTGCAACATGATGGGGCTGATTTTGTTTCTTTTGCAGACAGCGAAATTGAAATATGGGCCCAGGCGAAAGGCAGGACGTCCCCTCTAGGCTAGAGCTAAGTAATTGAGTGCATTAAAGCGTGCTTCCAAGAATGTTTCAACCTCGAATCAGGTGTGAAGAAGTTTTGTGTGGTCTTTAGTCTGCACAGTTTCACATTTGAGAAAGTGGATCTCTATACTCTTTTCAAGGTAAGCCAGGCTTCATTTCTGTTATGAAACTAACTATTGACCTTCAGGAGGAGGGGATCAGAATGGGAGACACAGCCAAGTTCAGCAAGATGTATGAACACACTCTCCTCGTTGATTGAACTGGCTTGAATGTTTTCATGCCGGATGTCATGCAGCGACACTATAATTATTAAGACTACAAGGAGCATCATTTTATTCCACCGGAGAAAACAGAAGGGTTAAAGGAATCTTGTGATTTAGAGAGTTTTGAATCATAGTTTGTAAGTTCTTTGACTTTATCCTTTTATTATTATTTTCCTTCCGATTAAAAGGTGGTTGTTGATCGTTTGTGCCAAAGATTTTGTTCTCCTTGGCTTCTTATGTTCTTGTCCATGGACCATACACTATAGTCGTTGTCTTCATCATAGTTTACAGATTTTCAAAGGAGAAAGAAAAATCTAAACTAGTTAGTCACAGCTCTTGATCATGAGCTGCATTCCCAACCCTGGCTTGAGGGCAATGGAAGAAACTGGCTAGTGTTTATAGTGGGGCAAGAGACCCAAGTGATAATGCTAGAGAATCATGGCTAAAATAAGCTTGGCCTCCAGCTTGAGTAGTGATCCTTGGATTATTTTTCTTGTATCTCACTAGGTGAGAGGGTGTCCATGAACAATTTTATGAGGTGTGAGTGTATGGAATATGAAAATGAAATACATCTTAGAGAAAGAATGACTTTTAGCCTAAGAATTTAAATTTTCAAGACTCAACTAACATCCTTTTACTTACAACTTTATATGGGTTTACACTAACATAAATTTTCATGACCTAATAGTATGCCTAACATCAAACTTCATGATATATTTCTAACATCTAACACCAACATCTGCAAAATGCAAATGAATACCCAAAATTTAATCACGAATATTATATCTTTGGATATCTATATTGCACTAACACTTTTCTTGAGTCACCTTCAAGATTCAATTTAATGCTAAAATACTAACAAGAAAAATGACATGAAAATCAATTAGTTTTCATATCTTATACATCTTTGATCTCTGAAAGGAAAATTGTGTTGTTTCATTAATTTTTCACAATTGTTGAAGTTTTTTTTCAGTGTTAGGGAAATCTTTCTTGAGTTTGTTAAGTCTTGAGTGTTAAGAATTTTTCTTAAGTATCAAGAAATTTTTATGATTGTTGAAACCTTTGAATCTTCATCCTGAATTTGGTTGTAATTCCTT